AGAAAGAAGCAGTTGTGGATCGATGGTAAAGCGGAACACAACAATTTTAATTTTATCAACCATGTTGGTGATAAAGTAAATTTACCTTTTGTAAAAAAAATCAAGCTGTCGTTTGAGTATAAACCCTTTGTCAGATGGAACAAGATGAAGCCATTGTTACGTTCGTGAAGTAAGTCAAAGAGCCTGGCAAAATATAATAAAACATTTCTGGAATTACCCCGTTACTAAATTTCCCTTTAGCACCTTTCTTTTCTTGAAAAGACTTGATAGTATTTTATGCTGACAACAGGAAACTTTCGCATTCAATATTTGTCTTTCAAAAGAAAACATTGTCGTCGCTCTGGGTAGAATATTAAAGTATTCGATATAGTACTTTACTCTGAAAATCATCTAATTTTTTCGTCTATCTAATGTAGAATTTCTGATTTGCCAAGAAAAAAATATCTTTAAAAACCTCGCAGGATATGACTGCATTTAATGCCAATGGGGTTGTCTTAGTTTGTAAAATCAAGTTCTAGTCTTCTCAGTCTATCGCCTACTGTAAATCTACTGATTGTCTGATCCAGGACAAAAATCATCACAACGGAAGTAGCTCAAAATAGTACAACCCTTCAAAATTTCGACTTTCACAAAACTCAGTCATACTTATTCTACTTACCTTTGGGCAATGCTAGAATCGTCAATGATATGGGACTTTCAGCCCCCTGAGGGTATTTATAATGGCATACCAAGCCATTTGCATATAACATAAAAAAAATTGGGATATTATCAGAAACCTTTAAAAGGTGGGAGGATTTCGACACGTCCGGACACTCCTTGTGATACTCGAGCGGTGAGTTGTGACACATTGCGCAATGTCTATTCCGAAGCCACTAAAAACAACGATTTTTATTCAAAACATTTTACCTTAAAAACGTGTTTTGAACGCCAAAAGAGGCCGCAGCTAGAACAAGATAGCACGCGATTGGCTATTAAGATGTCGCCAAATGGAATATGACTGGTTGGAGAGATGTTTTTTATGGCACGTGGCTAGTTCTGTTATAAGGTGGGACAGGATTGGCTAATGGCATGTTACAGGGTGGCATATGATGGGTTACGGAGACATGCATTGAGGTTGCACGCAGCTGCTTCAAGATAGTACACGATTGGTTAAAAAGATGTTTTGAGATGGCACATGATTGGTCAAAAGTATGTTATGTAAGATGGCAAACGGTTGGTTTACTATCACCCCAGTCGATTGTAACCTACATTTGGGTACCAGTACCCTACCGGATTCATTACTAAATACTTCTACTCGTCCATCGAGCTCTCTTTGGTGTTGTCCCTGCGTAACTGAAGAATTTTCTAAGTTTCAAGGAGAGTGGAGCTTACAATTTAAGATCCAATATTACCAGCGAATAAAAGATCCCCAAAACAAAGTAGATTAAGACCCTTGGGGTACCTTAGGGACAGGGCCTTTGCTTGTTTTGGCCCCTCACCGTGGACCATTCCTCCTTCGTCAGCTATCAGGAGTATCCGGGGTGTTCAGGGTTTCAAGCAGGCTCCAAAGACTTTCTTATTTCGTTTGGTATTTGCCCAAAGAACCAAATCCTTTTACAGTGATTGCGGTTTTTTATTTTCATTTCCTCCGGGTCTACTGTTTATTATGTGATTGTGTTTGTCAGATTTTATTAGCACTTTAGAATATGTTTATCATTTTTCTTTCCGGTGATGATTTGATTAATTCTCAAAATGTTCTCTCTTGATGATGTATGGATATTGTTAGGAGAAATTTGATGTTGGTCACTCTCGGGACGTAAAGGGATAAACTGTAACAGATCGTGTTGACTACGGTTAAACTGATCACAGAATAGAGAGAAGTCTTTACGTCACGTTGCCATGGTAGTAAAATTTTTGGATGACAGCAAATAAAAACGTCTCTTAAAAAGTGAATTCGCACTGTTTCAACTTCATCGATCTTATTTAATTTCATTTAATTTGTCAAATGTTGGCGAAATTTTCTGGGTTGAATTCGAAAGGACCGTATCTGAGTTTACAAAAAGAAAACGAAAATTTGCGTGTTGTGCTTACCTACTCCAAAAAACGGGCGCGTGAAGTTAGCAAGTTTCATGTCGTAGTCGTGCAACAACGGCTAAGAAATCTACAAAAAAGCGTAATGCACGTGTAAAGTTGCTATCTAAACCTATTGCTTTTTTGCTGTTGCAAAAACTCCCTATTGTTAAGATCCATAAATTTTGCTACCATGGTAACGTGACGTCACTATTCAGGCCATTCTTCTCTTTTTTTTTTCTTGGAGTAATAACGTGTCTGAAATTTACATACACTTAGAGCTGACCCAGAAAACATAAAGGGAATAAATAAACATACAGTTTCTGGGACTAATTCTTTCAAGTATATAGAATTTACTATCTAAAATCTTAAAACTCTAACTAGGGTTGTAGATAAATTTCCTCCCAGCGCTAATTACTTTTAAATCTAAATAAAACATAATTCAAACCTTTTGAGATATCGTCAAACTGTATCATAATAAAAAAACATTTCAATTTGTTATATAGCTGAAAATTACTTCCCAACGGCGCGCGCTCTCATTGGTTACTTCGAGGTCACATGACAATCAATCAATCATTTATTTTGACACGTTACGTCGAGGAGTTCAAAAACTCGTTCGAAATACGAACGTGTATAAAAATCTATAATAATTACAGCTATATTATAATATTGTTCAATTTTAAAAACAACTCAAATTATAAAAGCTTAGTTATAGAAACGTAAAATATAACAAATAAAAAGCGAAAACCTACTAAAGAGCCATATACTAAAAATGTGACTGGAAAACTATAATACACGTTCTAAACAGCTACAATCTTGCACCATAAGACACGTTCTAAAAAGCTGCAATCGTGCAATTTACTTTTGAAGTCATTAGCAACACTTGAGTACTTGAGAGGGTAAACTGTTCCATAACTTAGTTAATGAATAAGTGAAAGAATTCTTCTTAAATTTAAGATTAAAGTTAGGCAATTCAAAATTCAAGCCCTCGCGTCTTAGCCCATACGGTGTATTTCTGTATTTAAAAAGGTTTCCAATATAAGTAGGTCCCGTGCCACTTAGGCATTTAAAAAGAACTATTAATGCCTAGTGTAAGAGCCTACAATATAAGGATGTCATGCTAGCCGTAGTAAGCACCTTGTCAGGAGCACCCAACGACTCTTCTCTGTAAAATATCTGTTCGGGGAAGCAAAAATTCCCTACAATTTTCTATAGCTTAAGGAAGGCTAAAAATTTCTAGATGACCGTTCCATTTATGTACAATTTTCGACGCATATGAAATAAATTCCCTACGATTTTTTAAAGTTCAATTTTTCGCATTTCAGTCCCCAAGTTAGGCTATTTTTTTTATAGAAAAAGGAAACCTAAAATTTTCGGGTTCGAAAATGCGATGGAGAGAGGGATCAGACAATTTCTCACTTTCGTAAAACTTAAAATTTCATGTAAAATTTTCAAGAAAATAAGACTGAGACCCTTGTAATTTCGAAAAGACTGAAGTTCCCCTAAGATGACCGAACAGATGTAAATTTTATAGTGCCGCTTAGAATTCATTGCTAGAGATCTAGAAGTACTCTGGATAGCCTACAAAGTGTTTTCAATGCATTTAGGAGGAAACCTTCGGTGGGTGCCCCTGCCTCGTCGTATGACATTAACTTGTTGTGCGCGATTAATGATCTCAAAATATAACAGTTGCCATCTTCGAGACGGTTACTCTGACCTGTACCTATGCCTGCAAATAAAGGACTGCAGTATTCTATATGAGGTAATATAAATGCCTTATAAAGTTTGATCATTGCATCGCGAGGAAGAAAACCTCTTACTGTTCTCAGCGCAGAGGCCTTCGCGTAGGCTTTCTTTAGTTGACCTGATATGTGTTCTTTATAGGATAGGTCCTTGTCTAGAGTAACTCCAAGAATCTTAATAGATTTTAGAAGTTCTATTCTAGCATTATTAAGAAATAGAGAATAGTCACAGGGTCCGACAGATAATGCTTGAGTCTTAGTACTGTTCACTGTTAAATGTTTACTCAAACCACGACGAAAGAGTCTGTAGATCTTTGTCGACAATGAAACTGTTTCCCACCAAAATCTCAGAGCGGGCAACAGTGCAAAATCTCTAACTTTAGAGGGTAATAGTCCACTAGTGTTACCAGCAAATGTTGACCGACGACCGCCGTTACAGCGAGAAAGGTTTAGTAAATTTTCAGCTATATAACAAACCACTTTATGACTGGTGCCTCGGAAAAAAGGTAATTTTGTTTGGATCAATTATTATTAAGTGTTTAATGTTTCAGCCTGTTGGCTTGGATTCCTGGTCTTGCAAATGCGTTAGTCCATTTTTTGTTTAGAAAAATCTTGATACTCTTCATTTGCAGCACCATTGTGAACTCGTAGATGTTTGACAAGGGATGACCTGTAGAAGATAAAAGTTTAATTTTTTGGGGTAATTAGAGGGTGTATGACCGTAAGCTGAAAGATTTTCCTGGTATCGACAAAATAATGGTGTATATATGTTGACATTATTACTACTGTGTGTCTAAGACTCTGTGAGGCCAATGGTCTGGGAAATTAGGTGCCCCCCTCCTCCCCCCACCCCCCTTGCCATTTGTCGTATCCAAATCTGTAGCTCCAGAGCAACGGACTCATAGAATCTCACTCAAACTTTAGAGATGTTCTGCCCGTCTGCAAAGCAGCGCCAAAATCATTGCTTTAGGCCCCCATATGTGTAACTGGATTTGATTACGCGCATGACCGGCCTGTTAAAAATTCTACCGTCAACTACAATCATGTTGAAGGGAAATTCGAAATGCATTTCTGCTGATTAGTTGAGTCCGTTGGGGGCCCAGAATATAAAGGATATCGGTGTTGCTTCGCAGACGTTACTAACGGGAGTTAGATAACGTCTGCAACGCAGGCTATCAAACTTCGCCATAAGGAAAGTCTCGTTTAGCTTTATATTTCATTATAAGTCCATGAACCGTTCACATACCTATCTGCAAAACACTTTGTACAGCATTGGCATTGAAATGGCTTCTCCCCAGTGTGAGTTCTTATATGGACTTTGAGCGAGTTGGACTGAGAAAATCCCTTGTGACAGATTGGACACGTGAAAGGCCTTTCCCCAGTATGCATGCGCATGTGAACTGTAAGATTCCCCGACTGACTGAAGGACTGGGGGCAATGAGTGCAGCGGTACGGCTTCTCTCCCGTATGCGTGCGCATATGCACTCTGAGGGCCGAGGGACGCAGAAACGCCTTGTTGCATATTTCACAAGCCAGCTTCCTTACTCTGTCTTTTGCATCTTCTCTCTTCTTCTTGTACGACATTACAGTGGATCCCAATGGTGACATGCCATTTACGCAGGTAGGAAGAGCAGGTTGGCTATTATAGTAGAATACTTCCCAAGGAAGGTGCGATGAGAACCTTCTAGTTTCATGGATGTGCGTCAATGCGGCTGTTTGAGGGAAGTGCATTCTGCAGCTTCCGAATTCACAGCGGCAGGTAAATGAGGCGTCTTTAATTACTGGCCAAGAAAATGCAGAGGAATTCAACGGAATGCTGCGAAGAAAAATGAAGTACATTTTGAAGATCAATTTTTTAAATCAGATCCGATCAGGTTAAAAATTTAACATTATTGCCTCAGGCTCCTGCGGCCACCGTTGAACTGACCACTCACATTTAATTTCTTTGTGAACAACAGGCTATAATTGAACAAACCACATTCCGAAAATTTCTTAACCCATCAATTAATTTTGGTTGTCGGCGTGTACCGTAATCTCAGATAAAGGGAAAAATTCTTACTTTTTGAATTTAACAGGGTTACAAATTTTAAAGTACGAAGGATTTGAGTCAGGCAACCATGCGTGCGTTACCAATGAACCTTGGACTAAATCGTTGTTAACTTATTTATTTATTATTTAATAGTTTGTTTCGTAAAAGTTTCAATATTTAGTTATGCACGGAAGAAAAAATTGCTGACAAATAGTTACATTACATACCTTTCATATTGATTCATTTCGTAGGCATTGAACCCATTGTTTACTGAGTGTGACGACATTTTGATAACGAAGAACGAAACGAAAGGATCCAGTCTTACTAGAAAGAAAAAATCAAAATACTGAGTCAACCAACATGTTTTCAGCAAAGCAAATCATGATGATAAAAAAATATACTCAGAGAAATTCAAGAAAATAATGACAAAATACTTGACACTGGTTAAAACTGATTAAGTGAAATGATGGCTTTGATTACGACCGCCACCAGTAACGAAACGTTTACTTGTCTGTCCACACTACTTCGTTTTTTATTCTCGCTCATCAACGAAATTGTTGTATGCTAAGGAAAATGCTATAAAAATGTTCAATGATAAAATTTCGCTAATTTGCTGTCGTCCATATTCTTGATTAGCTGAGAATTATGACTCGAACAATCCCTCATATTGTTTGTAAGCTTCCTTCTACTGTTCAGGTTAACACAGGATCACCAGATTTTTTCAAATCTCCAGTGAGATTTTGGCCTAGCGAGAAATTTTTTGCGGGCATTTTCCTCTAATTAACAATTAAGGATTTCTCTGCAGGCGAAAGATTTGCCCCTCCCGTCAAACAATAATTCATAAAATCTAGAATTCGTAACTTAAAAACCACCCCCGTTTTCCATAAGGAATCTCCGCTCACTTTGAAAAGCTATCGACATCCTATCCAAAAAGGCTTTATTCTGTTGTTGTTGTGTTGCTGTTTCTTTTTTCTTTGACACACGCCCAGTTTATGCATGTCGTCGATGGATGGTGACATCGAAATGGCTTAGGACTAAGTTTATTGGGCGGAAGCTGTTTTCTCCATCGGAGCCATTATCTTTGCTCCATTCTAACCTCTAAAATAATATGAGGGGAGAGAACAGATAAAGCTCAGAAGAAATTTCTAGTCGAGTTTTGCCAGTTGTCCGATAAGTTAATTTTTTTCGCTCCTAATCTTTGATTGCTACGCCAGTATTTCAGCATGATTTTCCAAGAACAATTACTCTGAATGTCCCCTCAGCTATGGCCTCAGGGTAAAAGAATTGGAGTTATTGACCTTAAATCCGCCATCGGGGACCGCACGGTATAAGAGAACGATGCGAAGCAATCCAGCACAGGAAGAAAGGGATTTCATGATGATGGTGATTCCGAATGCGAAAAAGTCTCTCGACAAAATTTGCTTTCTGTTTAATCGTAGTGTTGAATTGAATGTCGCTATTTCGCAACAACATTTCTTGATACTTAACAATTAATCCGAATGTGCTAACGTCTCCTCTCGTAACTTGAGGTGGTTAATATAGTAAAAAGATCGTACGTACATGTCATTATCGCTTTTTTAACTCTATGCAACAGACGCGCTCTTTAAACTTGAAATCTTTTCATTTCTTTCCTTTTTTCCGTTTTTTTTTTCGGCACTATTAAGAAAAATTCAATTCACTCGGTTATTTAGTTTTAAATCACCCTAAAAGAGAGAAAAAACCTCTGTAGCGCAGTTACCCGAAGGCAATGTTGTGAAGTTTAACATTGCTGCCTTCAAAATGTATAGGTTGCTGCAAAATTCCAAACACTAAAAAACATACCTTGTTCGCCTCACTAGAAGATGAAATAACTCCAGGTGACCCGTCAATGTTCTTATAGCGGCGGCAGGAGAAGGAAAACCCTCATGGACATCAATTTTGGCTACGCCCTACGAATAATTTACGCATGCGCCTTCATTGTTCTTAGAGCGGCAGTTTGGAACGAGAGCCCAAAGTGCTAAAATAAGGTGACGCCCTTGTAACGGTTATTGTGTTGATTACAATGGAGAGCCCCTCCCCTTCCCACGCAGGATTAATTATTCCCCTATAAGGTTCGGGTAGCTTGCAATGCATGCAGGTTCATTTGCCGTATTGCGAAATAACTTTATGCAAGATGATATTTACGACATGCTTTAGAAAACACAAACGCAATAAAATTGTCAAAAACCTGGGAAATAACCTTTGTCATAAGATATGTGCGTCGTAAGCTGGGTTTAGAGTGGACGGTCACTAAAACAAGCTAAGGCAATTAACTGGTGTGAAGGCTGAACGAACTGGTTATGAGAAAGCTGCATAACAAATTAATAGAGATGGAGTGATGTAACAGAGGTTGAAATACCGAGTACAGTGGAACCTCCATAAATATATTTTACTATCACTGAAGTAAAGAAAATCGTTCATTATACCGAGGTCTTCGCTATATAGAGGTTCGTTATATCGAGATTCCACTATAAGGTCATGTTTAGGGAATGACGTAACCCGCTTCAAAGAAAAGACAATTGACAGAAATAAAAGGGAAATTTATTTCTACACGGATTTGCAAATATCAGGATTTGTATTCAAAGCTTTTAGTGACAAGCATTTTTTCAACTCCGTACGTAGTTAATAGCCCTATTTTCTAAAGTTAACTTAAAACTTGTGCCAATATATTAAGGGTGATGAGTTTTGGCATTAATTATTTCTCTACATAAGTTCTTCTGGCCTGTTTAACTCAAGCAAGAATTGTCAACCTCCGCAATATCTTTGGTTAAAAGACTTTTCCTTAACTTTTTAAGTCAGTATTTTAGCAGAGATCGATCATCAGAAAGTTTCATCATTTTTAACTCATACCTACAGTATATCGCTTTCAAGCACCTACATCAAACATGAGAAGGAGAGTTTCATCTGTTATCCAAACAAAGAGAAGTAATATATCAAACTTAATAAGGAGTCTTGTGTTTGACATCCAAACACTGAAAAGTAGTGTTTTTAAAACACTAGAAGGAGTGTTTCTTCTGATATCCAAACGTAACACTGAAAGGTAATTTTTTAAACACGAGAAGGAGTGTTTCATCTGAGATCCAAACACAAAGAAGTAGATATATGAAACACGAGAAGTAGAATTTCATGCAGTATCCAGACACTAAGGAGTAATATCTTAAAAACGAGTAGGCGTGTTTCATCTGGTATCCAAACATATCAAGACAACACAAATGAACTGGAAAACGAGACACAGCCGCGTTTTTAGAGCTCCTTCCATTTGTCAGAACTGACCAGCCAGACCATTCCCGTCGCAATGAGAATTTCCCCTTTAATCAAAACTCTCCAGCCAGATAAGTCAACTCCTAAATAACATGCACCAAAGAAATGCTTTTCGGCAAAAACTCTTGGGAAAAGCCTACTTCATTTTCAAACTGACTGGTCATGCAATGGTCCGGCCGGCCAGTTTTGACAAATGGAAAGTGCCTTTAGACTGACTTGCGGGACACCTATATCAGTATAGCAGATAATAAACTGTGTCGAGTGTTTGGTAAAGCTTCTCAAATTAGCGATAATTTTCGATGAAATTTGAAACTTAAGTTCTGAACACAGCAATTAGTGAGTTTACGCAAGAGGACGGCAAAACGCTTGTGCGTGACAAACGTGACAAGGCTACGTGTTTTGTCGTGATCTTCACGTAACATTAATGTTTTCTGCTCTTTTACAAAAAGATTTGTTTGTCACACCAGTTTTGCCGTCCTCTTTCCTCTCCCGCCCTGTTGCGTTAATTCACTATAAATGTAGTAAAGGGTGTGACATAACAGTAGTGATTTCCTTTTCTTCTCTTCCAGAAAAACCAGCGATAAGTTTAAGAAAAAAACCAAACGCATGAAGGTGCGCTTTGTACTAGGTACGATCTCCCTAAGAGGAAAGCTTAATCTTCATTTCTGATTTGGTAAAAAAGTAGTCATAAGATTTTAGCCAAGTGTACCACGTGATTCCAGCACCAAAATGATTGGGATCCTTGTCGCTTCCATTCAGATACAAACCATTCAGGCTGCTCTGGTGACACTTACCATGCCACCAGCCGCTCTTGAATGTGCGCGCGCAGTTTCCCGCCCATCTGTCATTGTCTTGGTCTACTGTAGAGAACAGGTTGCCATTTTCAACTGTAAAGGAATCGCCGCCATTCCCAGCTAAAATCACAACAGTAAACGTTGTGTCCTCACTAAGACAAGTTTGGCCAATCACAAATATATAAATTTTTTTAACTTTCGAGGTTGAAATTAAAAAAAAACAAACAAACAAACAAACTAATCAGCAATTACTTTGAGTTTGTGAATGAAATCATATTCTGTGACCATATAAATTAAAAGCTGCCGAGGAGTATTTACCTGTGGCAGTATTCATTATGCTGTACAAGGTGGTTCTAACTTTTGAGTCTGTGGATGAAATCCTATGGTGTAACCATTCAGATGAAAGCTACTGAGCAGTACTTTACTGTGGTACTGTTTATTACGCTGTACAAGGTGGTTCTAACTTTTGAGTCTGTGGATTAAGTCCTATGGTGTGACCATTCAAATGAAAGCTACTGAGCAGGACTTTCCTGTGGTACTGTTTATTATGCTGTACAAGGTGGTTCTAACTTTTGAGTCTGTGGATGAAGTCCTATGGTGTGACCATTCAAATGAAAACTACTGAGCAGTACTTTCCTGTCGTTTATTATGCTGTACAACGTGGTTCTAACTTTTGAGTCTGTGTTAAGAAATTAATAGCGTTGTCATTCAAAGTAAGCCTCTTCGATGATTGCTTT